GTGATGGTCTGCTACAATGGCGGCCCCCAAGCGAAGCTTCAGTTTCTGGCTGGTGGATTACCCCCTTGGGCGTGACAGTAGCCATGTTTCCATCCACTTGTCAATCAAATTATCTGAAGTTCGGTAAAAAACCTCATGCGAATAAAGCTGGTGAAAGTGTGTTTCCATCAAACGGCTTTAAAGCGGATAAAAACCTGTGCCTAATGACGTCACATGCTGTGTTGCGATCAAATTGGTATATCGAATTGATTTGAAACATGTTAAGGTGTTTCCATTCATTTTCTCACTGAATTGCACAACATTCAAGCCAACATGTGCGAACAAAGTTTTACTAGGCAAAATGGATCGCACCATATTAACGTTTCCGTCAGCGTTTATCGCATAAGCCGTTTATCGATAAAGATAAAATCCGATGAGACCGATCATATTTCATTTGAGTCGATATTCATGAAATTCAATCGAATTTTACTGTTTCCATGAGGCATTTTTCATTCGATATCACTTAATGCGGATAAAAACGTGTGGATGGAAACATAGCTACTGTTTGAGAGCGTCCCTTTTCACTCTTGCACTCTGTGGTGATGCATGTGTTACTTAGTGTGACTGTGAAGATGGATAGGTTAAACTATAATTGATAGCTGTCAAATTATATTACAGTGTTTCCCATACATTGGTTCACAATATCAACACAGCCTTTTGGAAAATCTATTTGTGGTTGGCATTGACATCGTTGAATAAACATGAGCACTGCACGTTTCAAAGTCAAAACTCGGCACGGGTGTTTTTATTTGAATGTATCTGAAGTGAAGTAATGATCTTTAGAAAAGTTTCTTTGTTATTACGATTGAATCTTTCTTTATCTTTCCTGATAAAGCAGCGTTTATGTGCATTGCGCTGCTTTGTGTACAGGCGTTACCGGGGAAACCGCTATTTCTGCCGCTCCTAAAGCGCCTCCTGCTGGCACCTAATGTAAACAGCCTTGCAAACCTGTATTAATAGGCCTACTAGTGTGGATTTTTCTACAATATTCACTCATGACAGTAAAATAGGGCAAGTCAATCTACTGCAGTATATCCTCTCTCACTCAGTGGAAAATGTGGTTAACCCAGTCATGCTTAGGGAAAAAAAATACCGTCATATACCGTGAAACCGGTATAATTTTGAAAAATACCGTGATATGGACTTTTGGTCATACCGCCCAGCACTACTTTAGGTGTATACAAGCAGCAACAAGCCTGAGCACAAATACTGTTTGCGGGTTCAGTGCAGATTATATTCTACAAATCATGCCTTCAATGATGCTGCCTCAACCATTACTTGATGATAGGAACAATCGTACCTCAGTGTTTGGATTGATGTGGTTTTTGCTGAATAGAGCACTTTGCATTCAGGTCAAAGTTTTTGAAGCTACATGGCTTCAAGCAAACACCAAATATGACTTAATGTTGGCCTTTCTCAGAAGTGCTGTCCTTTTCTAAAGAGGCAGACACTAGAAGTGCCAGAAAGATTGTTGATGTCTGGACAGCTTCCATTTTAGTCAAAAAATCTCAGCAAAGGGCAACAATGTAAGTTCTTTAATACAGGGGTTTTCAGACTGGGGTATAGGGACCTCAAGGGAATGATTTTTATTTCCACAGTATGAATTGGTTTTGTGGATTCATTTGCTCTAACTCCATCTCAAGATTCCACCCAAGAGGACAATTTTATTGCTCAGATGCTGTTCGTTAATAGCTCAAGAGTTGCATTTCAGTATCGTCTTTGTCTCAAATGTTTCTCTTCTTTCAAAGCTGAACACAGGTGTTAGGTGAGAACTACCAAACTTGCGGGGGTGAAACATCTTGAGGCAAAAGACTCAATTATTACATTATTGTCAAGGAATCTAATTTTTATTTTTTATTTTAATACAGGTTGTACACAAATGGATTCATATTGAACAGAGATGCACCTTGTTAACATACTGTAGTCAGTGTGCGATCTGTAAAGATTATTGAATTCCTACATCAATAATAATGTGTAAAATTATTCAGAAATTCTAAATGTAAAAATGCTTTAAGCATTCTTTGCAACCAAATAGAATGAGAATGAATCAATGAGATGTGAATACCTCCTGATAATGATATACTGTAGTTGTTGATTCAATCTGGATCCCGATGATGAGGAAATCTGTGTAAAAAAATGTTTTGCGTTGCAAATGACGCTGCAATGACAGCTAGCATCTCTCTCAGGAATCTACTTCTACTTAAGCACTCCTTAAGTGCATTTAGGTGGGAATGTTGCTTTATTGATTACAACAAAACACCGTGTTCACCAGAGGAGAACTGGCCAGACCCTGGTTTCTCCCAAGGTTTTTTTTTCTCCATTCTGTCCCTGATGGAGTTTGGGTTCCTGTCGCCTCTGGCTTGCTTAGTTGGGGACTCTTAATATCCCACATGGAAAGAACCTATATAAACATATATGTTTTAATATAGGTTTTGATATAGGATTTCAATATATGTGACATATATAAAATTGGCCGTTTTCCTATATTATATGTACATATATGCACATACATGTACATCTATGTGTGCATATATGTGTGCATATATACGTCCATATATGTACTTATGTAGGTGCATATATGTGTGCATATATGTACATATATAGGTGCATATATGCCAATATATAGGTGCATATATGTGTGCATATATGTACCTATATAGGTGCATATATACGTGCATATATGAACCTATATATGTGCATATATACGTGCATATATGAACCTATATATGTGCATATATACGTGCATATATGTACCTATATAGGTGCATATATTAACCTATATATGTGCATATATACGTGCATGTATGTACCTATATATGTGCATATATATGTGCACATATATGTGCACATATACACGTATATATCCAGCTATATGTTTACCTATATATTAGTATAATTATTAAAATCCATAGCTACTAGGCAACATAAATAATAGCCCAAAATGTAGAAATTTTAATTATTTATTTACTCAAGAACAATCAAATAGTACAAGAACAAAAATAAGACAAAAAACTGTACAGAAAAAAACCCCAATTTATCTTGTTGATCTTCTCAGCTCCGTGAGCTTCGAATTGATAGATGTGCCTATCTCCCCTCGGCTGGTTGCCGGCCACTTCTTCAATGTAGCATCTAGAGAAGACAAAAATAATAAGACAGTATAATAATAATAATAACAATATATTGCTTCATCAGGAACCCAAAGTGCTTACAGTACAGCTGCGATTGGACACACATTTTGGATAAAGGGCTGATCATAATAAAAAATGCGTCATGTAAACACGTCAATTGGAAGATTCTGATTGGATTCTGCTAAATCTGAAAGAAATTCTGATTGGAAACATCGTCCCCCTTTTTTTTTTAGCGGCATCGTTCTTTCATATGCACATGTCCGTCATCGGGACTGCATTGTTAACAGTCACACGGTCAACCATGTGCATCCAAAGCAGAGAAAATTCATGGATAGAAAATTTCAGAAATGTGGCTTTAGAAGAGGAAAGGTAGGATCAAGAAGTGAGCAAGCAATGAATTAGTATTATAGGTTCCAAGCAGATACAGTAACAATAATGGGTGCCCTACATTATACAGTCTCCATTGATGCCTAATAAACATTGATACAAGTAGGCTATGGTTAAAGTGGTGAACTTATAAAGTCTTAAAAGTCAGACTGATCTCATGAAATGGCGTATGTATGACACGCCAATTCGTATTTCCATTTTTGGCGTGCTATCAACACGCATAATCGCTTTTCAGCGTGTTTATCAACGCCTTTGACTTAACGTTATATTACTGTATTATGTATATATAAATATATGACCTACCCCAACCCCGTCCCTAAACCTACCCGTCACTGGGGTTAATACCATTTATGAGTCTTCTCCTACCATCCTAGGAAAATAAATATCACTCCACAGATGTAGATATAGATTTTGCGTCGTTTCGCTCGGACATTTAACGGCGTACACATACACGCGGAATCACTCGGACATTTAATGGCGTAGACATACACGCGGAATCACTCGGACATTTAATGGCGTAGACATACACGCAAAAGATTTCGGCGTGGACATACACGCGGATAGCTCAAAATGCGTATAGATAACACGCCACTTGAATTGAAAGTGGCGTGTATGTTTACGCAAAGTCATGATGTCATGTTGTAAAAGTTTTGTTTTCCCTTCTCAACGCATTATGCATTTACTCACCAATAATGGCTGCCTTTTTAATTTGGTCAAGGGCGACCAGCTGCTCCCCATCCCCTCTGGTTGGCTTCCCACCTTAAAGTAATATTTCAAAATTATTATGAAAGGGGGGTAAAATGAAGGTGGTGAAAACAAGAGATTTTTTATATACACATACAAAAATACAAAAATGGCAAGTAAAAAAGCGATGGTATGCCCGCACACAAACATAATTTATTCCGCAGAATATGATTGACTTGTTTTTTTCAAGGACAGAAGAGATTAGAAACATGTTGTTTAGTACCATTCAGGTTGCTTTTCAGCAAAGTATCCAAATCAAAGGTGACCAGCAGCAGATTCGGCACCATGGCAGTGGCAGAGGTGGCAAGGCGGGCTGCTTTCCACGCTTCAGCCTGGCAAAACACCCCAGAGCCCTTTAACTTCAATCTGAAAAATAATTTCACATCACAATATTAATTTATTGGCAACTTTTAGAAACTTTTTCATGTTTCATATTGATTCTTATGCTTAGCTTCCCAAAAGTTAATAGGTTATGATGTATAAATGCAGATTAATGATAAAGATATGAAACAAATTAATCATTGCCCTAAACGTTATTAAAGGAGAGGAGGAGGTTGGATGGAGAGTAGGGTAGGAGAAAAGACAGTGGGTGGAGAGGAGTGAAAGGGGGGCAGGAGGAAAGGATGATTGTCTCTTATAACACTAATTGGCTCTTACAAAGCACACAGTTTATACCCATCCTTACTACATAATGTTATTCACCTGTGTTTTCGCTGTGGTCTCAGCTGTTGCTGCAGTCTTGTTAGAGAAGAAAAACATTGTTAAACTCAATTGTAAAACTTCAACAATTGTATGCATATGGGGCAAGTAAATTACATATTACCACTAACTATCCCAACATAAAAATCCCTATAGCTCAGTTGGAGCCTTAAGTAAAATAAGTACAGAAAAATCTGAGGTATATAAGGGTTACACACACCTGTGGTGTCTCTCGAAAGCGCTCAGTCACCATGGGACTCTCTTTAAAGGGCTCGGTCTCCTCTCTGGAGTCTTAGAGAAGAAAGAAACTTAGTAAAACTCTACAACAATTCTTATTCATCCAAGCAAGCCACTATAGATTCTTATTTACAGGGGGGGCTTGGAAAACATTAAACATGTCAATAAATTCATAGCCAAACAAAAAAATCAATAAAAAAAAAATCAGCCAAACATCATAAAAATCCATATAGCTCTGTTTGAGTAACAAGTAAACTAAATAAATACAAATGCAAGGGGGTTACTCACCGGTTGCACTTCTCCAAAAGTCGAGAAGGAGACATCTAGATCCTCCACAGGACTCCTTCCAGTCTTGTTCATAGAACAAAAATATAGTCATTCTCTTCAATAAATTAAAGTGCAAATACATCAAATAATAACACTATCAATCAGCCCAACATCACAAATCTCTACAGCTCTGCTTGAGAACCAATTTTAAAAAGCAATGAAAATCAGTGGAACTTACCTTTTGAGCAATAATGGCGAGGTCACTTTTCATTTGAGGGATTTCTAGAAAGAAGTTGTATAGCCTAAAGAAAAAACAATTACAATCACTAAAGCAGAATAGCACCTAACGTTAACGTTACTATTCGAAAGACATTTCCTGCAGCTGTGAACGCACTACAACCCTCCAAAGCCCATTGATAAGGATCTGGAGAGGAAACCTGGTTGTGAACGCAATTAAAAAAAAATGTCTTTCTCCAATTTCTCCCAAATTCAAATTCCCCAGGGTTTTTTTTTCTGGAGCCGATTGACTTCTTGAGCCATTGAAGGCAGAGAAGCATCATTTATTCTCATGAACTGTATGTTCTCTAGGCCATGACTTTTGTTAACGTTAACCCTCAACGAATTCCTCTAGAAAGAGACATATAATTCTAATTTGAATCTTATCAACGGCTGACGTTATGAGCACCCACACTAACTTTACCTCAGTACAACATAGCATTTATTTTGCCAAACACGTGTTAAACTTTCAGCCCATACAATTTCTAAGTTTATACTTCTCTGCCACCACAATATCCATCTCCAGAAAAAACCCTGCTAATAAATATTATAATTAGGAATACTTACGATTGATGATAAGTAGGACATAGCGGATCTCCAACGCTGATATCGCCATTTTCACTCCCAGCCGATATCTTTCGGCGCGAATCGTCAAACGTCAGGCGGATGACGTCATCAACTACGCGGCGCTGTAGCCATGGTAGCAGCAGAGTGGAGAATTTTTTTTTTTTTTTTTTTTTTTTTTTTTTTATTACAGTTTGATATCAAGTTCTTGATACATTTCTTTTACAGATTTTCACATTTGATAAGTATAAGTTGAAACAATAATTTGGAAAAAAAGAAAAGAAAAGAAAAAGAAGAAAAGATAAAGGCCATCTCAAACATATATTAAATTCATTTAGCAGAGATACAGATCTTTGGGCTTTTCGATTTTTTTAAAAAACTTTACAGACTCAAAATGCTTGTCTTCAAATTCATTAACCATAGTGAAATGCTCAGATAGATGGGATGATGATGATGATGATGATGATGATGATGATGATGATGATGATGATGAAGATGATTACTTCAATGTATGTTCTGTTCTTTTTTTTCTTTTTCTTTTTGTTGCTACATTTAGACTGTAATGACCTTTCAGCCATATTCATATAGAAACTGCATTAAGACAACACAGAAAACATTGCATTTTGCATTGCATTTGGTGGAACGGTGAATGTGTGGATGTGTATGAGCTGTAATGTAAATCTGGAAGTGACTTGAAATTGGAAAAAGGGCTTGATTGACAAAATAAAAAAACGACAAACCATTTTGTTATTTCCTTCTTTTCCACTTTCTTCATACAAGAAAGAATTGACCTTGTAATAGCTTTCCATCTCCTCTCACTTAATTGCCATAGTTAAATTCCATAACATGCCAATTACATGTGATACCAATTTCATGTTCGCACATATACAGTTCTTGCATAATTTATTTTTTTAGTTAGTTCTAGTTATTGCCTCGATAATAGAAAATATGAGCTAGGCATCATGTATGACAGTTGCCAAAGTGAGGTATAATGACCAGATCCTGCCATGAGCTATATAGGAGTCATGTATGCACATATAGGGCTTATATGTGGATAAAAAGAAGCAATACAGGATACCTATATGCCTGTATATGCACATATATGCACCTCAATTTTGCCTGTATATGCACATATATGCACCTCAATTTTGCCTATATGTGCAATATATACGCATATATGCAGCATATATATTATCATATATGTGCATATATGCTGTATATATGAAGCATATATGTGCATATAAACTGCATATAGGTTTCATATATGCGCATATATCCTCATATAGGTTCTTTCCATGTGGGATTCAACAGTATTACTGATCTGAATGTACTGACGCTGTTGAATGAGACCTGAACTGAGCTGGACAATGACTTTTTCTTTTTTTTTGCAAAACTGCTTTATAGATTAAATTAACTAATTTAATGATTGATGATCTTTACAACAGAACCGAATCAACACTGAACTGACTTCAGCTGAACAACATCTGGAATGCATAATTTTCCCGCTATCACTGTAAAGCTGCTTTGAAACAATCTGTATTGTATAAAGCGCAATATAAATAAAGGTGACTTGACTTGACCAAACACAAGCAAATCTGCTGCACCCTCTTAGCGAACATCTTTAAAATGGTAAATGGACTGCATTTATATAGCGCTTTCACAGACCCAATGACCACCAAAGCGCTTTACATTTGCCTCACATTCACCCATTCACTCACTCATTCATACACTGACGGCGGTGTCTGCCATACAAGGCGCCATCCAGCTCGTCGGGAGCTGCCGGGGTTAGGTGTCTTGCTCATGGACACCTCAACAACTGGTCAGGTGGAACCGGGGATTGAACCACAAACCTTTCGGTTCGAAGACAACCTACATGAACCACTGAGCCACTGCCGCCCCCTAACAATCCTTTATTCTAACAATCACAGATCGCAAAAACGCTCACCATCACACGCATTTGAAACAAAATAACTTTCTGACATAAGTCCCTCTTCTCCGACTCACAGTGTATTTGTCAGTTGCAACCGCCCTGCTACAGTTTCCTGGATCTGAGGCAGATCTCTGACAGCTTGGAGTTGATCCCGGTACCAATCTGGCCCCTCCGTGCCAAAGGGAAACATGCCAGCATGGCATCTGCGGAGGGGGATCGAGCGACACTGCGACAACAGTTGGAGGCTCATGAGTGAGATAGAGGGACGGAGAAAGCGACACAGCAGTTCCTCAGCATTGCCAGAGCTGTCAAACCATTAAAAAGCCAAATGATGATGAATGAGAGAGATCAGCCTGTCGGAAAAAGCCCCCCTGGCTGTCATCAGCCAGCTACCCCACTCTCAATCCTCATTTCACTTTTGAAGGGTTTTTTCCTTTCAAATCATTCCCATCCCGATGCATCCCGATCCCCGACACACCTCCGAGATACACACTGATCTTGTTGATGATTTGGTGTCAGAAATTGAATTATTGCATACGGTGATAACAGTCACAGAAAAGAATATTCCCGTGCCTCTATCTATAGGGACGTAAAATAGCAGAAGAGATATTGAATGAATAGAGTGGGCTTATGGAAGTGGATGGGAACTGTAAATCAAAGACAGTAAATGGATAAGAGCATCCACCTACGAGTGGAACTTCACAGCGGCAGGAGTCTAAGAGCAAGCTGAGATTAAGTCGTGATGAAAAGCTAAGAGAATTTGTTTAGCTGTTTTGAACCAGAGTAGTGCCAAATCTAGTAGATATTTACTGTACATAACTCTGAGTTAGAAGGGATTCAGGGGAGCAAACCGGCTCCTTTCCAAAACCTAGCAGGCTGCCACACATAGTTAGCTGCCTTCAAAGGTAGCATCCTAACTGTCATACCTCATAAACGATTGATTTGAAGTGCTTTACAAAGGCAGAAACTCAACAAGAGAGACTCGACTTGCAATGATTTTGATAGTCTGACAGTAGCATTTTGCTAAGCTAACGACATGAAAACAACCACACGTTGCAAAGATTTTATCCTTCACAGATATATTGGATTGTGGAAATCAAAAATTGTTTTGAAGTACAGGAAAACATAGCATGACGCCACAAGATGAATGGTGTGCTGTATTAAAATAATATAGCCTAGAAACATTATAAGATTTATCGACATAAACAGTTTTAAGTGTTTGAATTTGTCATACATGTAACAGGCTGTTCAACGATTGTGCCAAATAAAAAAAATCATAGAAAAAGTAAAGACAAGAATCTTTGGAAAATGAATTATTGATAATTATTTTTCATTAAAATAATACTTTATTTTCTTTTGGCTTTAGTAAAGTTTTTCATGTTTAATATCACACAGTACACATGAGTTTTAAGGCGTACGAGACATAAGAGTTTCACATGGCTTTATAATCATAACACATTTAAAAACCTCTGCTTTAAGGGAATACTTAAAGTGGCCCTATTATGCAATTTAAAATTTTAAAGGTTCCTAATTTTGTTTTAGAGTCTCTGACAATAAGTTTACATACATCCAAGGTCAAAAAATATTTTAATTTTTTCATAATATACACTGCAGCATCAACTAATTTCTCAAAGAGTCTGGAAGCGGTTCGTTTCGAAGATTCAGTCTCTCTAAAGACTCTGCTCTGATTGGTTGCGAAACGCCCATCACCATATCTGCATTTCAGCTCCGGAGGTTTCCAAATGAGTTATGTTGTTATGTAGGAACGTAAAAGGAAGTGAGAAATTACTGATAACTGGTTTCGGCAGTTCAGAATCACTTCTTTATTTTAAGCCTGGAACACACCAAGGCGACGGCGACGAACTAGTGCTGATGAAACCCGACTGTGTTGTCGCCTCGCGTCGGGGTAAAAGCTGCACTTCAACACACCGAGAGAACTACTGCCGACTGTTAGCTAGAATGCGCATTTTGCACCTGCATGAGACAACTGACAATTGTTGAGACAACTGTCTATTTCTGCAGATATATTCGTCTATTCGTCATTCAAAAAGGGAAACCGACGCTGCAGGCTGCAGATACACATACCGTAAACCAGGGGTGCCCAATCCGGCTCCTGCCGATCGACTGTCCTGCACAGTTCATCTCCAACCCTAATCAAACACACCTGCCTTTAATTTTCAAGTGATCCTGAAGACCTTAATTGGTTGCTTCAGGTGTGTTTGATTAGGGTTGGAGATGAACTGTGCAGGACAGTCGATCGGCAGGAGCAGGATTGGGCACCCCTGCCGTAAACAATGCAGTGGGTGCTTACCGTTTTGAATATCAAGCCTGCTAAACACTTTCTTTATTCCACTCCGCTCATGTTAATATTGAAATATTCGCCAAGGAACAGCCTTCTACCTGTTCCGTTTTGACTTCTTTGCTCGCTGTTTTGCTATTATTCTCGTGCACTGATATTTCACTAAGCTGAACAGCCAATCAGAGTTCCCTCTTTCACCGGCGGCCCGACGCTGATTCAACATTTCGAATCGGCCGAAAAAAACTGCCCGACGGCCGACCGTCGGCTTGGTGTGTTCCAGGCTTTAGGAGACAATAACTTTATTAGTCATGCACGTTGACCTTTAAAACTTTGTAGAACTTTTACATTCACAAGCAGCTATATTCAACACTGCATGAAAGATAATATCTGAAAAAGCACAATAGGGGCCCTTTAATACTTTCAATATATATATTTTTTCAAAATACATCCTTGTGGAAATCCTTTCCACAACCAGGGTTTCACATGTAGCACTTTTCCAAGGTTCTTGTTTGTAAACAGTAATTTTATCTATAAGCCAATTAGGTTTTTTAATTGAAAGGCGAGACTTTCGTACACAATGCAGTTCGCTATAAGCACAGTTATTTCCTGGATCTTGATAAGCCAGCTCGGGCATTTCCGGTGAAGATGTTTTTCTATACTCGCTGCCTTCAAGATCTGCGTCGGGTCAACATTTTAATCAATTCATATTTTGATAAACCAATATCGATTCTTGTGGCATGGCAGATTGCTGTCATTCAAGCGCTGTTGAAGCTACCTTTAGAAAATGTAATATACCACCACACCAACAAGTGACTTTTCCCCGAAAGTTTTCCAGCTGGCTTATATTATTGAGCAAGTTCGTA